CCTTCACCCATAGAATCCAAGAACGATGGCCGACCTTGATATGACGTGTAACGGCCTCACGGCCGGAAATCTAGGCGCGTTCTAACTAACGTACGACATGTACGGGCGACCGTGCATCCGGCGTCACTCACCGGCAGCGGAAGACGATGTGAGCTTGACTGTGTTGATTATAAGCGTTGACAATGGGGGCCCTTGCTTCACGCCGACGCAACATCGCACTGGGGTCTTGGAGAGTTGAAAATGTGATGTACGCAGAGATTCTCGTTGCCAGGTGGAATGCGGTCGATCTGGAAGGTCTTGGGCAACTCCAATGAGCAGTCGTCTCTGTCGCGAGGAAGGTCACGGACATCGGACGAAGTGGTCATGTATCGCCTAACGACGTGTACTTTCCTGCCAGACCGCCTAGCTTTCAGCCTTCGTAGGCTCCTTATACAGCTAAAGCACAACTGTCGGGATTACGCTCAAACGCCGCATACGCCCATATTCTTGCAGCAGAGCGCTGCACAAACACATGCCCGTCGAAAGCCCGTCGACAAAGCCCCTTATGTTTCAAAGATCCATACACAAGCTCGAGAAGCAAACATCTCACCTCAAAAAAATGAGTTGCCGCAAGTCGCACCTTGCCCTCACAAATGAGTCAGGCAAGTCGATGTCCGTGAAGCGGCGACGCTGTGCCTGAAGCAACGTGAGCAGGGGTTCAATAAATAAATGCTTGAGATAACCGCGTAATAAATTAGAGCAATGGAACTGAAGTGCGGCGGCTACAGCATGAAGGTTTTGCAACGAACAGTACCTTGCAAACGTTTGCAGGGTCCACAGCAGCTTCTCAGGGCGCCGCGCAGCTGTTCAGGCTTCCTCATTTGCTGGTCATATGTAGGAAGCTAGCAGCTTTTACGGACGCACCAGAGCTGGAACAGGCCGAAAAGAAGGGCTCAAACGTTGGGTGAAAGCCTGTGATCAAATATCGGACGTTGTTCACATTTGCTAATGGAGCTGAAAGTGCTATGGGAGGTGCCTTTTGTCAGAGGCCAGCTAAATTGTACGGCGCAACAGCT